AAAAAAAATTCAATTTTTTATTTTATATATTTTTTGGCCGGTCTGGTTTGGTTTTAAACCGTAATTAAAATTCTAAAACCTAAATCAAACAATTTTTACCGGTTTGGTTTGGTTCAAAACCATTTCGTTGACGGGTCCACGTGGCACCAAACCTCCGGTTTCAAAATTACAGTTTCGGTTCGATTTTTCGATTTGACGATTTTTGCTTACAGCCCTACTTAATAGGCAACGTGACGAATGGGAATAGAGTGACTTGATGGAAACAAAAAGATAAAGTTAGTGATCAAATCGAAATAAAATTAAGTTACATGACCACAATGAAACTTCGTTAAATTTGATGACCAGCACTCTTAGCAAAGTACACCTTTTACGTGACCGAATGTCGAAGGTTTAAGCATTTCACTAATCACCACTAGCCAACGCGCCACCCCGCTCCACCTCCATTGCCACCGCCTATACGCACAGGGAAACAGAAATGGGTCCAGTGAGGAAACTAGTGAAGAATGCGACTTTACTGGGAGAAATGGGATTTAACAAGGGAGGTGGGAACATTAACTGGTTCCCGGGTCACATGGCCGCCGCCACTCGGGCCATCCGGGACCGCCTCAAACTCTCCGACCTCGTAATCGAAGTCCGTGATGCCCGCGTATGTTTTCTCATGTCTCAATTAATTATAACTTGATATTCTATCCATTGCCAGTGTAAAAATTTTATACAAACTGCCCGAATTGATTTATTGGATATGGAGTTTGAAAATTTTAGGAATTAATCATCTCACATTTTTGTTTTTGGGCTGGGGGATTGTATGTAGATTCCATTGTCATCAGCAAATGAGGACTTGCAGCCTATGCTCGCTGGGAAAAGGCGTGTCATTGCTCTCAACAAGAAGGACTTGGCTAACCCTAACATCATGCATGTAATCTTTTCCTCCCTTTATATGTTTACATAGGACAATTGTCTCGTACGCGTGTTCTAGTGTATTGATATTGTTAATCTTTTATTACGAAGAAAGATTTGTTTTTTCTTTAAGATTTTTAGTATTCTTATACTGAATTGTCAAGAGTATTTCTATTCTGTACTCTTTATTGTATATGTCTGTTGCAGTGGGGTTGCCACATGGGCTATGCACTATTGATCAATTATGTTTGTTTGTCTCAAGATTTTACTTATTTAAAGGTCGTAAGAACAGTTAGATTACAATATTTTAATAATGTAAAGTGGATAGTGTTATAATGCCATTGTTAGTCTTTCTTAAGTTCCAAATTTGTACTTCTGAAGACAATATTGTTAGAGGTATTATGTGATTCGAAGCTTTAGTTTACTGTAATAAGTACGATGTTGTACAGTAGTATTTGTTGATTCTGGATAATTGAACCTTTATCATGTTCAAGTTCAATTATCTTGCTAGCTTTCAATGATTAGTGCTTTCATGGGTAATATGCATATGAATAATTGATGGAAATCTTGTTGGAACATTTACGGTGATGTTTACAGATTTAATTCTATGCAGAGATGGATTCACCATTTTGATTCATGTAAACAAGATTGTCTTTCAATTAATGCGCACAGCAAAAGTTCTGTTAAAAAGGTTAGTCAATGTTATTCATTTATTAATCTAAAAATAATTGATTTCAGTGTGATAGGCTCACTTTTGAATTTTCTTAAAGATCATGCTGTTTCTTGAAGAAAAAGGTAATCTTATTTGTGTTGGCTATGATAGTATTGACAAGATTTCTTGCTTGTAACCTTATCTTATAGCCATCCTTCAATATGTTAGTTAAAAAGCTGCTTAATTCTAGATCTGTTGGTTTTTTCTATATTGAATTTCTGATATGTGTAACTGCTTGAAAACTTACATTACTTTTCAAGCTTATGGACAAACCTCCACTCACGAGGAAAAAGATCAAGTTTTGTACTACTTCCAAGCTTTTTCTGATCATTGATTATTGTCCTAAAGCTTCTTGATCTTGTGGAGTTCAAATTGAAGGAGGTAATCTCAAGGGAGCCAACCCTCCTTGTCATGGTGGTTGGTGTTCCCAATGTTGGCAAGTCTGCTTTAATCAATTCCATTCATCAAATAGCGTCAGCTCGCTTTCCAGGTGTGATTCTCGTTACAATTGATTTCTTTAGGGCCTTTCTTAAGAATGTTGTCTGCATTCAATTAATTAAGCTTGGTGTCTCAAACAATGATTTTTTTCTTGCTTATAGTGCAGGAGAAGAAGAAGAAGCGGGCCACAGTGGGACCATTACCTGGTGTTACTCAAGATATTGCTGGGTTCAAGGTAAATGAGTTTTTTTTTTGTGAAAAACAATAATGTTTAGTTAATCGGCAGTCAAAATTGTTTTTCAGTACTGAAGTTTAAAAAAATTGCGTGAAACATTGAAAAGGAGATTCAGTTAGGACTGATCTATAACCATTTCATTCCTTTGAGGTTTATCATTCTTTTCCTCCAATCATTGTATTTAAGTGCTCTTCATTTTATGAACACATGCAATTTCACCTTGTTGAACTACGGCTACTTTTTTTTCTTATTGTTGCACTGTATTGGTGGGTTACACATACTTACAGAGGGGAGCTGATTCTGTGTTAATGCTAGTCTTGAACAAATTGTGTACAACTGGTATACACCCAAGAATGTCAGGGCTAGTGATATAAGATGTCACTCCTTATGGAGCATGAATGTTACTAGATTGTAAGAGTAGTTTAGTTATTTTGTGATCTTGTTATTGGTTTAATGCTATTGGGAGAGATAATGAGAGTGAGTCAACAGTTGTTTTCTTATTTCATGTTCTATTCTTGGTTTTAGTCAGTCAGACCTATTACAATTTGCTCACAAGTACCTAAAATCTGAATAGTAATCAAATGTACTGTGTTGCCTGTCTTCCTCTCTGAGCAGAGGACAACCATACCACGTCCTTGTAGAATCCATTTCTCCATCAAATCCATTGGCTTCCTCAAAATTAAGATAGTGTTCTTCCACTTAGAGATCTGGTTTACTCCATCTTTCTAGCTTCTTTCCCATTTTGCGTCCTTTATATTATCTCCTCATCCCTGCCCCATCAAAACAAGGACCCTAGAAAGTGAAAGGTATCA